CAGGGGCTTTCGCGTGGCCGCAGCCCGCCGGCCCCGTTCCTACGTGCCCGGTCCCTGCTGCTACACAAACGCCACGGTGGGTTCAAATAAAGCAGAGCCCTACGTCCCAGGACCCCGGAAACTGGTACATAAGCTTGATGGCAGACTGCTTTTTTGTTTTTCGTGTATGTAACATGGGCATGATCTCCAAAGACCCTCTAAGCGGGGCTGTGGTGAAACTGGTGGCTGGGGAGTCTGGAGGGCGGGAGCCGCGGCGTTATGCTCTGCCCCAGCTTTGGGACACCGGTGTCGGATGTGGAAGGGACGGACGCTTGCCAAGATCACAACAGCTCCAGGGACACTGGTCCTGGCACAGGAGCAGTTGGATGCAACCAATTCCTGCCTCCCTCCCACCCTGCTTTGCCTTCACAGGGCGCGAAGGACAGTTAATGCCCCAACAGCCCCAGGCCGTTTCACTGCACTCTTGCTACAAGCTGCTCTCGGATCAGCTACCTTGTTTTAGAAACGATCCCTTACAGGTTTTACCAAGACATCTACCGATGCAGCTATGGCGCTCTGGAGGGCACCATCCCTGCAGCCCACCAGCAGCTGGAGAGTCCTCCTCCCCCCCCCGGGCACGGGCAGGCGGCGTTCCTGTTCACTGCAGCCTTGAAAGACGAGAGCAGAGCTCCCACCAGCTCCAGTCCTGGACTGGTGGTGCCTGTCCTTGTTGAAACACCCTGGGCATCCAAGCCATTGTGACCAAGGCCTCTTTAGGACATAGGCTTTGAGGTGGCTCTTCCCATAAACCTCGTCTCTCCCTTCTGCTGGGTTTGCGTGTGCTGCCATGAGGGACTGCAGGACCTTCCCGGCGTGCTGGAATCCAACCCAGGCCCCATAAATCACGGGCATTTCTGGTCTCGCTGCAGAGACTGCTTCTGAGTGGAGAAGCCTCCCAAGGACATGGCTCCTACCCAAGCCCGGGTGAAAGGGGGAGTGGGGGAAGCTTCATGCAAGCAACAGAAAATAAGACACCACAGAATTGCTTTTGAAAATGCAGAAAGGAGAAGCAGGGGGAGAGAAATCACCCCAAACCACCACCCAGCAGCAGCAGCTCAAATGAACCCCCTGGAC